AAAACCAGCAAGTGACCATACCACGACGACCAGGACGACGAGACGAAGAGATCGCCATCGAGATCGCCTCCAACTGCCGCCGCACGCGCCGCCACGCGCCGCCGGAAGGAAGCAGTCGCTGGAACTTGTCGTCGCGCGTGAGAGCGCGTGAGAAGGCCGTTTTTCGATCGGTCAACGTCGTTGACTTCGCCGTCACGTCAGCTTTCTGGATTGGTCAAGTTTGTTCGATTCCGAGAAGATTTGATTTGCGGTCAACTGTTCGGGCCAGCCAGATCTACACAAATTTTAAGCAGTAAGTTTTTTTCATCAAACCTTTAGATCCGATGCGCATAGGTTTATGTTGAATGTTTGTCCGTGATTTGTGCATAACGAGATCCTCATGGGTTCCAACAACAGCCACAGCAGCAGCCCTTTGCCCAGCAGCGTTAGCAGCAGCTTCCCCCACCGCCACCTCATCAGCAGCATCAGCAGCCCCCACCATTCCAGCAGAGGGCTGGGGGTCAGGCCCGAGTCTATACCATCATCCATGATGATGCCGCCCACAATGCAGGTACCATGTTCGGAATGCTTTTGATATCCCATGTGCCTGTCTTTGCTTTATGTGATATCGGTGCTACCCATTCTTTTATTTCTTCTCGTTGCTTGGAGGCTTTATCTATTGGCACCGTGCATGCTTGTGATACTCTCGAGGTTAGTTTAGCCTCGGGAAAAATTATTATCTCTAATTCAGTGGTTCGCAACCTTCCTATTTGCATTGGTGGTCGAGTTCTGAAGGCCGACGTCTATGTAATTGATATGAGAGACTTTGACGTGATCTTGGGCATGGACTGGCTCACCCGTTACCGAGCCGATATCGGGTGCCAGGAGCGTGAAGTCACCCTCTATCCTGTTTCCGATCAGCCTGTTGTGTTCTTTGGGGTGAGTTCGAGGACTGTGCCTCGGGTCATCTCTTCTATGCAAGCTAGGATCAAGGCTATCTTGTTTCCATGGTATCCGACGATGTTGATGAGCGGGTGCCCGAGAGAGTATCTATTGTTTGCGAGTACCTCGACGTCTTTCCTGATGATTTGCCCGGAGGGCCGCCCGACCGCCAGGTGGAGTTCACCATTGACCTAATTCCCAGAGCCGGCCCTGTTTCTAAGGCCCCTTACCGTATGGTGCCAAAGGAGCTTCAAGAGCTCAAGGATCAGATCCAGGAGTTGCTCAAGCTCGGTTTTATTCGTCCGAGTGTCTCGCCGTGGGGTGCGCCTGTCTTATTCGTGAAGAAGAAAGACGGATCTATGCGCATATGCATTGACTATCGGGAGTTGAATACCCTTACAGTCAAGAAAAAGTACCCCTTTCCCCGTATTGAGGACCTTTTCGACCAGCTGAGAGGAGCCAGCGTCTTCTAAAAGATTGATTTGCGTTCTGGCTATCATCAGCTGAAGATCCGGGAGTCGGATATTTCCAAGACTGCTTTCTGTACCCGCTATGGCCACTATGAGTTCGTAGTCATGCCGTTCGGACTCAGCAATGCCCCGGCCGTTTTCATGGACCTTATGAATAGGGTCTTTCATCCTTTCCTGGACCAGTTCATCATTGTGTTCATCGACGACATTCTGGTCTATTCTTGAGATATCGATCAGCACAAGGAGCATTTGAGGATTGTGCTGCAGACTCTTCGTCGCGAGAAGTTGTATGCTAAGTTCTCGAAGTGAGAATTCTGGCTGAACCGTGTGGCATTCCTTGGCCACATTGTGACAGCTCGAGGCATCGAGGTGGATCCCAGCAAGATCGAGGCAGTGAGCAAGTGGGATACCCCAAGAAGTGCCGCGGATGTTTGTAGTTTTCTGGGGTTAGCAGGATACTACAGGAGGTTTATCGAGGCAAGTGTGAGATCTTTACCGACCAGAAGAGCCTAAAGTACATTTTCACTCAGAAGGAGCTGAACATGAGGCAGCGTAGATGGTTGGAGCTGGTCAAGGACTACGACTGCACCATTAGCTATCACCCTGGGAAAGCTAACGTGGTAGCCGATGCCCTTAGTCGGAGGAGTTATTGCCAGCTATCATGCTTGTTTACCGGGCAGGATGTCCTTCTTCGGGAGTTCGAGCGATTGCAGCTAGAGGCAGTGGAGTTGACTTCAGCAGCCGGGGGCATGTTGACCTCTTTGGTTGTGGGACCGACTCTTCGAGAGAGGATAGTCACCTAGCAACCGAATGACCGTTTCTTATGCCAGATGAGAGAGTTATCAGCAGCTGGTAGAGTTGGTGGATTTGCAATCGCATCTGATGGAGCCTTGGTCTTCGAGGGTAGACTTTGTGTTCCGAAGGTGAGGGAACTGCGGAGAGAGATTCTGAGAGAGGTCCATAGTGCTCCGTACACCATCCATCCTGGTAGCACGAAGATGTATCAGGACTTGAATAAGTCTTTCTGGTGTCGTGGCATGAAGTGGCAGATAGCGAAGTTCGTGGATGGGTGTCTGGTGTGTCAGCAAGTGAAGGCTGAGCATCAGAAACCGAGAGGGTTGTTGCAGCTTCTTGAGGTTCCCCTATGGAAGTGGGAGTGCATCACCATGGATTTCTTGGTTGGACTGCCGAGATCGAGGGCCGGGCATGATTCGATTTGGGTGATAGTGGATCGTCTTACAAAGTCTGCCCATTTTCTGCCAGTCCGGACGACCATGAAGGTGAGTGATTACGCCGAATTGTTCGTCAAGGACATTGTTAAGCTTCATGAAGTGCTCGTGGAGATTGTTTCTGATCGAGATCCCAAGTTCACATGTCAGTTCTGGAGGACGTTGCACCGAGCCATGGGGACGAGGTTGGAGTTCAGTACAACCTTTCACCCCGAGACAGATGGTCAGTCGGAGCGTACGATCCAGTACTTGGAGGATATCTTGAGGGCTGTGGTCTTGGACCGGAGCCTGACTTGGGAGTATGCCCTTCCGCTAGTCGAGCTGACCTACAACAACAGCTACCACTCTTCGATCAAGATGGCCCCGTACGAGGCTTTGTACGGACGTAAGGTCCGGACTCCTCTGTATTGGGATGAGGTTGGAGAGAGGAGGATTACGAGCCCGGATTTTGTCCAAAGTACTGCTGCGACAATTGAGGAGATTCGGAGGACTATCAGGTCGGCCCAAGAGAGGCAGAAGGTCTATGCCGACCGGAAGAGGCAGGAGCATGTTTATGATGTGGGAGATCATGTCTTCTTGAAGGTTTCACCCATGCGAGGTGTGATTCGCTTCGGGAAGAAGGGAAAACTTAGACCTCGCTATATCAGGCCGTTTGAGATCCTCGATCGAGTCGGGAACTTGGCGTATCGGCTGGCATTACCACCAGACTTGTCGGGTGTGCACGACGTGTTCCATGTCTCGATGCTTCGGAGGTATGTGCATAATCCTGATTATGTGGTGGACTTCGGCGAGCTGCAGGTCGAGCGAGACCTTATCTACGAGGAGGTACCGGCGCCATCTTGGACCGAAAGGTCCACCAGCTGAGGAACCGGGCATTGAGCTTAGTGAAGATGCAGTGGAGCCGACACGATGAGACTGAGTCGACTTGGGAGAGGGAGGACGATATTAGGAGGCGTTATCCGAACTTTGAGTTCTGAGTTCTCCTTTGTATTTTATCGCTTTCTAGTTTTATATTCGAATTCCGAGGACGGAATTTTTTGTAAGGTGGGTAGACTGTAACGCCCCGTTTGTTTATGAATAATTGAGATTATTTATTGATTTATTATTGCCATTATTATTGCTTATTTATATTATTATTATTATTATTATTATTATTATTATTATTATTATTATTATTATTATTATTATTATTATTATTATTATTATTATTATTATTATTTATTTCTGATTAAATGTCTAATTGTTTTAAATGCTTATTATTATTATATATATATTGCGTGTATTATAAATATAGATAATCCAGATTAATTTATTACTTGCCATCGAACGAATATCTCGGGAATTCTTTTTATCGCGTATATTTTATTCCGGCCCGAAGCGATTTAATTCATCGGCCTTTTGCCATTCTTTTTCCAGCCCAATGTAATTAAAATCCTTGGCCCAAGTTAATCATTTGTTGGCCCAATTTGAGTTATGACTTTGGCCCACTTCTTTTAATTAAGCTTGGCCCAAGAAGAAGAGCAGATAATATTTTCGGTCGTCCTTTATCTGCACAGTCGAATCCTTGAATCATTCTTCAACTTTCCCGCGAGAATCGCTCACGATCAACGGCACCTCTCCCACATCTTCATAAGACTCGGTCGAGAGAGAGTCTTCTCTTCACTTCGCATCAAACAAATTCAAATTCCCTTTTCTCAACTCTCTGTTCACAGAATTCAAAAAAAAAAAAAAATCGCTAGCTGAAAATCTGGCGAACCTCCATTGTTTCCGAC